CCCGTGCCCAGGGCAGGACGCGTCTCAGGACGGGTGGTTCCGCCGGGCCCCGGCTGGCGCAGACCCTTCGGAGTGCAGGCTGCGGCACTTAGACGGCGCTGACCCGGAGGCTGCGTGTAACTCGGTTTAACTGCACCTGCTATGGGATTTTGAAATGTAAATGAATTATATATAACGTGGATACGAAAGAAGCAAATGTGTTTAATAAAAGCTATCCTAAAGAAACACTTGTCCTGAAAGGGTGCCTCTGAGGTAACTAATCTCCAGGTGGGAAGTCCCAGGAATCTGACTCTCCCTGGAGCGGGTGGCCGTGGCCCCCTAGTGGCCCCGACGGCTTAAAGCACCCGCTCTGGGCTCAGGAAACCCTTGCTCTCAAGATGGCTGTTCCCTGGGAAAAGGTCCTCCACGGGGCACGAGCCTTCTGGACACAGGACAGGAAACCAGCAAAAGCCAAATGTTTCAGGCAGCAAAGACCTAGACCTCTAGACCTTCGGCGCTGGGAAACAGGCACCAGAGCTCCCTCTTCTGACATGCTCTGCACCGTTCAGAGAATGCGGAGCAGTTTGAGGTTCCAGTTCTCATTTACTTAAAAACATTTTCTTTCTTTCTTTAGAGACAGAAGAAGGGAGAGGGAGAGAGATAGAAACATCGATTGGCACCTCCTGCATGCCCCCCACTGGGGATCGGGCCCTCAACCTGGGCATGTGCCCTGACCGGGAATCGACCTCTCGGTGCAGGGTCCACACTCAAACACTGAGGCACACCGGCCGGCACCAGTTCTCATTTTCTGTCTGTGGCAGCGTCTCATTACTTTAGGCAGCTGTAAGTCTGGCTCTGGGGACGTGGTTTGCATCTGTGGATTCGAGTAAAGGACAATGTGCGCTCTCTGGCCCTGGGGGACAGTGCCCAGAACACTGTCCTTGAGAAAAAGAAAATAATTTAAGAAATATTCTTAAAAATAAAAATTAATACAAACACCATGATAAAATATCGACACTTGAGGTAAAGAGAGGATCTGTAGTACTGACCTTTGTTTTCACCTTCAGTCTCCAGGACAGAGGGGCTGGGCGGGGCTGGGCGCCGTTTTCCATTTGCCCCAATGAGTTTGTTAGGAAAGCCGTGTGTTCGAGTGGTTCTGGGCCCAGCCTCATAGCTGAAACACCTGGGTTGCTTGCAAACCAGAGGCTGTGACGTACCAAAGTGCATCACATGACTCCTTAAAGTGGAGACACCCCTGGCTGGGTCTGCACAGGAAGGTGGAGAGATCCAAGTGTCAGAGGGGCTCCTGCCCACTACTGCTGGCTTCGAAGGTGGAGGAAGGGACCAGGAGCCCGGGAGTGGGAGTGGATCCCAGAAACTGGCAATGGCCCCCCGGTACACACAGCAGGAAAACAGTGCCCTTGGTCCTACATGGCAAAGAACTGAATTTGCCTGCAAGTCGAGTGACCAAGAAAACAGCCCGAGGGAAGGATTGTAGCCCCGCTGACACCAGTGTTCCAGTTTTGCTTGACCAAACCGTATTTCAAATAGTCACCCCTAAAGAACATGTGTCCTGATGCTAAATAATCTCATCCTTTCTGTCATGAGATGGGGAGTTAGATCTATTGCAGAGTTAAATGAAAGTGATGAAACAAATGAGCAAAAAGTTATTACAGCTGTAAGACAGGTGGCGCCAGACTACTTGGGAAGAAAACTACTTCCCACCTGGCAGCTCCAGCAGGTATTTCCTGAAGGTGTTAAGTGTCTCATGCTAGTTATTTATAGCACCTCCTCCTTTTCTTCTTGATCTTTTTTCTTTTCATTCTGTGACTACCCTTGACAGTCTCAGCCACTCCCGTGATGTTAAAATTAATGTGCCATTTCTCAATCTTTCGGGCAAAAAGGTTTTCCAGGTCTTTATCCGATCTCTGTATTATTCTTTATTCAGTATGCATTTAACTTGGGGACTTGAAATAACAGATATTTGCTCACAGTTGTGGAGGCTGGGATTCCGAAGCCGGGCACCAGCAGGTCCCGCTCCTGCTGAAGGCTTCGGGGCTTCTCACCTCCAGCCTCTGGTGGTTCCAGGCGTCCCTTTGCTTGTAGCTACTGAACTCCGAACCTTGCCTCCGTCCTCACGTGGCCCTTTCTGTCCGTGTTCTGTCCTCTTCCTAGTAGGACGCCTGTCATATTTGACCTAAGGCCCATCCTAATCCAGCACGATCTCATCTTAACTGATTACATCTGCAAAGGCCTTACTTCTGAATAAATCCCATGTTGAGGTTCCGGGTGGACAAGCATTTTTGGAGGATACCAACCCACCACGAATACCATGTGAAGCTTCGCATGGTCTCGAACTTAAAAAAAAAATTTTAAGAGGGAGAGGGAGAGGGAGTGATGGAAACATCGATGAGAGAACATGCCCCCCACTGGGGATCGGGCCAATCCAGGCATGTGCCCTGACCGGAAACCAAACTGACAACCTCCTGGTGCATAGGTCAATGCTCAACCACTGAGCCACACTGGCTGGGCACGAGGTTTTTTATTGTAGCCCCCAAGCAAGATAAAAGACTGCAGACCCCAAGTCACCTGCTATTCAGTGGAAAAGGAACTGGATGGGGAAATGGGCAAACTGTGGTCCCTCCCCGAGATCCACTTCACCCTCCCCACGACTCGGAACCATGTTGTTTGTGCTCATATAGCTCCAACCCTGGTTCTAGTTGTGGGTGGTAATTACGTTATTGTTCAGGGATCAATGAGAATCTCTCCCTAAACCATTCAGGGCGATGCTTTTCCTGTTCACAGTGGTGCAGGAGGGCTTGTGATCTCAGCAGTTGTAGTGAGAATGAAGCTCTGATGGTTGGGGTGTTCTCCATCCCTCTGTCTGTAAACGAGGAGGCAGGTGTCTCTGGTACTGTCAGCAGTTGTAGTGAGAATGAAGCTTTGATGGTTGGGGTGTTCTCCATCCCTCTGTCTGTAAACGAGGAGGCAGGTGTTTCTGGTACTGTCAGCAGTTGTAGTGAGAATGAAGCTTTGATGGTTGGGGTGTTCTCCATCCCTCTGTAAACGAGGAGGCAGGTGTCTCTGGTACTGTCAGCAGTTGTAGTGAGAATGCAGCTTTGATGGTTGGGGTGTTCTCCATCCCTCTGTCTGTAAACGAGGAGGCAGGTGTCTCTGGTACTGTCAGCAGTTGTAGTGAGAATGCAGCTTTGATGGTTGGGGTGTTCTCCATCCCTCTGTCTGTAAACGAGGAGGCAGGTGTGTCTGGTACTGTCAGCAGTTGTAGTGAGAATGAAGCTTTGATGGTTGGGGTGTTCTCCATCCCTCTGTCTATAAACGAGAAGGCAGGTGTCTCTGGTACTGTCAGCAGTTGTAGTGAGAATGAAGCTTTGATGGTTGGGGTGTTCTCCATCCCTCTGTCTATAAACGAGAAGGCAGGTGTCTCTGGTACTGTCAGCAGACGTCTTTCAGGCTAGGGAAGACCAGACCTGGGATCAAGCTGACACTCGAAGGCCGAGAGGAAGGACTGGAAAACAGTGTCGCTGTTGAGGTTGGACTCCTGGATTCCACCCCACCTGCAGCCTGATCCCGCCTTGGGCTTCTCTGTTATGTGAGCCAAGAATTTCCCTTTATTAAGCCACTTTGATTGGGACTTTAAGTTGCTCATAATAACAAACATCCTAGCAGACATACTGTACCGCACACCAAATTTAGGGGAACATTCTGGATACCTCTGCTTATTTGAACTTGCACAGTCTTCTATTAAAGACTTGTTACTAGGTAATCATAGAACAAGAATGCTACGGATGAAAAATATACATTACAGCCCAGCCGGTGTGGCTCAGTGGTTGAACATCAACCCATGCACCAAGAGGTCGCTGGTTCGATTCCCGGTCAGGGCACATGCCCAGGTTGTGGGCCCGATCCCTAGTGGGGGGCATGCAGGAGACAGCCAATGTTCTCTCTCATTGATGTTTCTCTCTCTCTGAAAAATCAGTAAAAATGTATTAAAAATATGACAATAGCAACACAATAATAGCTGTTGATGTGAATGAATCAAAATTACACCTATTTTTTGGTGGGCCCCGGAATTTTAGTCACTAGTGTGTGCCATGAGATGAAAAAGGTTAAAATGGCTGCTCCAGACCCTTCCACAAGTGAAGCCCCAGCTCCACCTGGGACGACAGCAGCTAACGGAAGGGGTCACACCCGTGCCTCCACCTTTTCATCCCCCTGTAGATTGTTAACAGCATCCCATGGTATAGGAGTCATCACTAAGTTTAGTGAAGGATTTTGCTTTTTGAAAGAAACTAAGCCGAAAAGCTTGGTGACAGGGAGCCTTGTGCTGCCACCCTCTGCCCCTAGGTGGCACGTTTGTACTTTCTCAGAGGACGAGGAGAGGAGTGAATACCAGGCACCGCGACCTCCCCACACGACCTCCCGACACGTCCCGACGCAGGGCTTCCTCCTGTTCTAAGGATCGAAGCTCAGCCACGCACAGGTGTGTGTTCGAGAGTGAGGTGGCGAGTTGAGAAAGGTGTCCCCACATGCTCCTAGTGGCAGTGCGTCAGTGTCACCAAGGGTGACAGCTTCTGCGGCCCAGGCTCTTGCACCCTAACCTCCTTCACTGTCCTCGTGAGCCACACCAGCGAGGCCGGACACACAAGGGCACCCGCACAGGCCCACACCCCTGGTGAGAGCCCGCAGGTCCGATGACAGCGGTCACCACCCCTCTGTGCAATGCCGCCGCGCGCGGGGACGTGGGACACACCAGATCGCCACACTCATACGAGGGGCGCGACCTTCCTAGGACCGCTTCGAAGGGTGTGTACGTCTCACTTGGTCCCTTCGGTTCTCAGATATGCTCAGGTGTTTATCTCGTTAGGCACCAAAGTACACGGAAGGAAGCTGCTTCTGACATGTTGGTTTTCATTTTATTCCACATTTAATAAGCTGTACAACATAAAAAAGCACAAAATACTGAACTCTGTTTTCTTATTTACATGATGTAAAATTTTAAACAAAAACTTCTTATGGAACATGTTAAGTAGAGCAAAAGACTGCCCATGATTACCTAAAATATGCTCTAGTTCATGATTCTTTGACTCTGTAAGAGAATCTCTAATTCAGCGTGTCTGAAGGCAACCACCACCCAGTCGGTTCACTGTGACGAGCTACACATACTTCCCGTCTGCTCAGACCGACCGCGCGGGAGAGCCACGGAGACCAGGCCGGGAGTCCGCGCCACGGACACGCACCAGGAGCGGGCACGCGTGCCGATCCGCGCACCCGCTCAGGACCGGTTGTCTTCAATGACAATAGTTCTTCTAGGGTAGCCTTCCAGTTCTACAAATATGTATCGAAATTCGTATTCACCACTTTCCGGGTTCTGAAGAAAAAAAAGTGTCCCAAGGTGTCACTTTCGTCCAGTGCATTCCACGCAGCGCACGCAGTCCCGCGTCTCCCCGCCTCATCCTTACCTCCTTCACCTCCAGGTGCACCGTCCCCTGCTTCCCGGGCTCGGAGCCCTGGATGTAGAATTTCACACGCATGTGTCTCAGCCCATCTTTCACATACTCAATAAAACTGTCCAGAAAATGAAAGAACACAGGCCTAAGTTCCCTTCATTTAAAAACGGCCCCCGAGCCTTCCCCGTGCAAGCCAGGAGCAGTACCTGACGTGCTGCCTGCGCCCACGTCTCGTCATCTCCCCATAGCCTTTAACGGGCTCCCCAAAGACACTTATCACCTGCAGAATAAAGACAATGTTGTATTGAGTGGTTTCCTTCTTGTAAGTTTCTTAGGGAAATATTTTCTGACAAACCAAGTGACTTATTTTAGAAGGAAAAACCCAGTAAGCTGGGGACCCTTTCAAAATGACTCCAATAATGAAAGAAAGTTACTCTGCAAGCCCTGGCCAGGTGGCTCAGTTGGTTGGAGCATCATCCCGTACACCATAAGGTTGTGGGTTTGATCCCTGGTTGGCTGCATATGATCGATGTTTCTCTCCCTTCCACCGTCTCTAAAAAAATCAATTAAAAGAAATATATCCTCAGGTGAGGATTAAAAAAAAAAAATTAAAAAAAATTATTGTGCAAAAATCATCTCATAACTAACTTAAATATTTCCTGCAGAGACTGATCCAGGTAACTTGATGATGCTGCCTATAGGTTCAGACCCACGTAGGTGAACTGAGGCTGTTCCCACTCCTTACAAAACACAGCACCACACCCCAGAGCTCAAATATTTAAATGTCCGAGCGTTTGTAGTGAAATGTATCTAATGGGGCCTAATTCTACTAGTGTTGAGATGAAGCTATTTTTTATGTCATTAAACACAGTGAAAAACAAATCCCCAAGTAAAAACAACCTATTTAAAATAAACCATGAATTAATTATTCCTAATGGGAAACTTACAGTGAAATGGAAATGTAGTTTTTGTTGAATGTACAATGCAAACACTATGAAACCTTTAAAACACTGGTATCAAACTAAAACAAGTGTTGCCTCAAGTCTGTAACATTTTTCTCATTTTGTATTGGGCGTCTTCAGCATCACATTTTTCATGCATGAATAAAAAGGAATCAAGTATAAGATGAGGGCTATTTAAGAACTGTGGGCCTGAGACAAATGGCACAACTGTCAAACCGTCCCCTCGAATAGATCAAACCCATCGGTATCGCAACATGAGCGTTTTCTGCTTCTCAGCCAGGCCCAGTGTCTGCCGAAGACCAGGGCCTTTATAACTGCTGACAACACTGAATGTTCAGTGTAATTATTTGTGCAGCTTTTGCGGTCAGCAACTTAAGTGGTGACTTTTATACTCTGCCGCTCTGTTTGCTCTGTGTATTTTGTTTTGTTCAGAAGGCTGGAGATCTAGGCAAGGCCGAGTGTGTGAAGAGCATGGCAAGCCTTCACCTCTTCAGAGGTGCGTCGTAACATTCAATCGCCTGCTTCTGCTTATTTTCATCTCCATTAATGTCAGTTTCCCCTTCTGCAGACGGAGTAACAGCAGAACCCGACACCATGGTTTTTGAGAGATTTAATAAGGACGATGCCCTGGAATGCTAAGCACAGTCCTTGCCTCATACTATGCTCTCAATAAGAATCACTATTGTGATCAGGGGGTCATGCATCAAGTTTTATAAGAAGATTAGATGCATTACACAGTAACAGTCTTGTAAAAACAGAACCACATGTAAAGCAAGAGACATTTAAGAACTGTGTAGCTGTTTCAGCCTTGGCTGGTTTGGCTCAGCAGAGGTTACAGACTGGTACCGAAGGGTCTCTGGTTCGATTCCCGGTCAAGGGCATGTGCCTGGGTTGCAGATTTGATCACTGGCCATGGTCAGGGGTCATGCAGGAGGAAACCAATCGATGTGTCTCTCTCACATTGGGGTTTCTCTCCCTCCCTTCCACTCTACTTAAAAAAAAAAAAAGAACTGTGTAGCTGTTTCAGACTCGGGTGTATTCTAAGCATTTATTATCTATGATAACTAGTGAAACAACTTTTTTTGTATAATTAGGATGAAAACACCATACACAGATCTTTGTGCAAGTACAGAACAAAATGCTAATAGCATAAACAACTCAACACCATGTATTATATAAATCTCACTAGTCTGAGAACCTGTATGTGAATTCTGCCCATGCCCTTCTCCCTGTTATCAGAGGTTGTGTAACTGTCTTGAGGACTCACCTCGGGATGGGACCTGCACTTTTCTAAGGCTTTCCCATAGATCTTATTAGGGCTGGATGAAGAAAAAAGCTCCTTGAAAATCACATAGAACAGGCCACCTGAAAGTCACAGAACAAGAAGATCAAGCAAAGCCAGGGCGAGACAAACAGCGAGTGAAACGTATTCAGGGGTCTTATACTTGCTGTGTTCTCAACCTGTAATGCCGATTCCAATAAGCACCACCATTAAATAGGTAAAATCTCTTCCAGCTTCTTTAACTGTAGAGAGAAAGAGCACCAAGTCACACGTAGGCCACACATAAGCAAGAACCTTCAGTACTTGTAGGTGAGGTGTGGACTCACAACCAGACGAGTGGGTCTGTGTTCGGAAGGAGGTGTTCCCAAATGTCCCTGTTACTCAGAACCCAGTAAAAACCACACCTAAACCAAGTCACGTCTGAGAGGGGATGGTACAAACACTGCTATTCTTAGAGACCTTAAGACACAGGGGTGGTAGCCCCATCATATTCCCATGTCATTCGACAATCTTCCCGTTACAGAACACAGACCCTAGGGGATGACCATGGTTCACTGCAAACTCACCCAAGCAGTAACTTATGGGAACATTAGCACAGCCTCATGGCATGGGCCACTGATGTGGAGAATGCATTATTTTCCACCTCTAAGTAGCAACAGACAATGACAGTTATATGTGTAGTCTTGCCCAGGATTTGTTAAGTCTCCTTCCTGTAATAATGTAGTTTAAGTGACCTGCACATTCTGGACCTGAGATGTTCAATACAGTAGCAACACGCCACACATGGCTATTTAATTGTAAAATTAACTGATTTTTAACTTAAAATTAAATAAAAATTAAATAAAACAAAGTTCCTCCACATTAGCAACATTTCCAGTGCTCAACAGCTACAGGTGGCTAGTGGCCACTGTATTGGGATGGCCCACATACAGAACATTTGCACCACTGCACAAAGTTTAAATTGGACGACGCTGCTCGGGTCTGAGCACAGACAAGATGAAAGCTCACAAAATCCTTGTGAATGGTTGTCCTGAAGAGCACTGGCCTGATCAGGCACCCGAGATCAGGGAAATATGTATTTAACTTTCAGTTGTGTGAAACTGGAGAAGTGTGTCTCCTACATGACAATACAAACGTTTGAAAGATTGAATGGGAGAGTCAACTGGATGCAATGACATCTGGGCAATCTTGTCTATTTTAAGGAGGTAAACAACGGTTTAAGTTTTCCATAGCTCTCTCCACACCCGAACCAGTAAAAGTTGAGAAAACACTTTCTAGACATAAGTCAACAAGTTATATCAAAACCAACGTTCAAATCTGAGTTCAAGTCTATGAAGAATATTGCATGCCTATACTCTCTGATGCTGAACTATGTGTGGCGGTTCTACCGTTTCGTTTGAGTGACTGTCTTTCCCGCTGTAGCGCTGAACTTCTAGCAAAGGGCAAGGGCGGCGACCCTTGTCAGGTGCTGCAAGGCTGGTCCTGCCTGGAGACTTGCCTCTCACCTTTCTGTGCCGTTGAGATGGCGGTGTCCCCTCTCTGACTGTGCACGGACACCTGCTTGCTGCTGTCCTCCTTTGCTCTCTGGGCACCCCGTCCCTGCGTCCAGATGGTCCTCGGGGTGACTCCAAGGGCACAGCCAGGTCGCACCGTTTTCGGCTCGTGCAGCCCCCATCGCAAACTGGGCTCCGTCCTCAAGCAAGCTCTGCTAAGTACAAAGCGTGGCAAAGACAAGCGCTTCCTCGAGGACCTGTGCAGCTTCTCCGTATACTGTACAGCTCGCAGAAAAGAACAAATCATGTTCTCAGAAACCCGCTCCGCTGAGCGCTACCACCAGCAAAGCTCCAGGGGCCTCCACGCCCAGCCGGACCTGTGCTCGAGGGCACGCATCCGGTAATGCTCGCGGCGCAAGGCCTCTCGGAAGAAGGTGCTGTCCACCTCCCCTTCTCTTTGGTCCTCTTTTTACTTGGATTCAAGTGCTTTGATTCCCTTCCACGCTGACATTCACACTCTCCCCGCCACGCCTTTGCAAAGTACGGTGGGAAGCCCCTAGGAATCCTGGGAACAGTAGTTTGAGGACGTCACGCTTCACTGAGTGCCGACAGCGGAGAAAGCACCCGGACTACATCACCCACAGTGCAAAGCGGCCGGAGCGCACGCGGGCCTCGCGCCGTCTCCCAGGCCACCTTGCGCGGACCGCTTACGCCTGCGCAGCACGTAGTTGGTGTTGGCGGGACTCGCGGGGCGGTGACAGTGAAGTAGGGGAACGCACGAGTCACGGTAGCCACTGTAAGCTGCGTGTTCGTGCGACCTCTGCAGAGGACTCCGTGCACCGCAAACCTCTCGGGTCTGACTGCGGCTCCGCCCTCCCTTATGGGCGAACGCTGTAGCCTTTGCGTTCTGGTTTCTTACCCCCCAAACAAGACGGAAAGTGGCGCGAACCACCCCAGTGCCGGCCACTGGGGAGGAACGAGGCCACCACCGTTGCAGCGTGGGTGTCACCAACTCCGAGCGCTCAGAAGTTTCTAGAACCGCCCCGGGAGCGCGCGGAGAGGAGCTTCTGCGCATGCGTGTCGGGGAGCGCACCGACGTCGGGTGGGCGTGGCGTGGGCGGTGTTCTTTGCCTTCGCGACGTCGCACCGCCCACGGTTTGCCGCCGGGTCGCCATGGCGACCGGACGCGCCCGGCTCCTGCACCAGCACTGGCTCGGCGTCCAGGCGCTGCGCCTGCCTCCCGGGGGCGTCGGCGCGGCCCCCGGGAGCGGCGGGTTCAGGTGACGGTCCCCTCCCTCCACCCGCCCTGCCGCCCGTTCCCCTTTGTTCCTTGGTCCCTCTCGGGGGCGTCGCTGGCGGCTCCTGTGAACGCGGGAAAGGTCGGGAAGAACCGCGGGAGGGGGTGTCTTCGGCTTGGAAACGTGGGTCATCCCAAGTGGTGCTTCAAGGAGAGTGGCTCCCCGGAAGCCTTCCGTCCCCTTCCGTTAAATCAGTTAATGGGCACCGCGAACGCGGAAGCCCCCCAAGCCCTGCGCAGCGCCTCGCGGCGCGAATGGTCGCCCGGGCCAGACAGGTGCACCTCGCAGGTGTCTGTCCACCTGCAGGTCCTGAAAGGGCCCCGCTCCGCACGCGCCCCCAGTGTCCTTCCGTCTCCTGAGACCGGGAGTCGCCCACCTTTCGTCTTTTTAGGACCTTGTCCCTTGGAGAGAGAGGAAGGTGTGAACCCGTAGGCGGATGTCTCGGGGTGGTCCGGGAGCGCCCCCTTCCGGCAGCACTTGGTGCACTTCTTACACTTGCGGCAACTCGGACTCAAGGCCGGTCTGGGTCTCCGTGCAAACAGGGTTTAGGTGGCCGCCCCGCGGGGCTCGGCTCCTAACCCTCTCCCGCCGGCTTTCCTGCCCAGGTGCTGGGGGCCCGTGCTGTTCTCCTGGTGTCTGGAGCCTCGTCACAGCGCGAGTGAGCCGGTGTGCCCTAGGTACCAACGTGCTGTCGTGCAGCGTATTACATACCTTCCCTTTTATCAGGGGCCGTCCCAGCTCCGTGCCCATCGTCCCAGTTAGTCGACGAGGTGAAGGGATAATGCTTAGGACCGTTTGCATTCTCGAGGATTAACATTTTGCCTGTAAGTCTTCTTACTTTACAGATACAGACACTCATGCATATTATGCCATCTGATAAACTGGATGTCTGTGCTTACGCATTCAAAACGGTTGTTGCTTACCAGTTCAACTACTGGTCATTTTTGTTTGCCTGAATCTCCAGGTCTATGTCCCATGTCCACCGGAGTACTTCGCTTTCCCTGGTTTCCCAAGCAGAGCCTTGTCCCTTCGTGTTATGGTACCAGGTTATGTCTAGCATTACAGACACTCAAGAACCAACTAGTACCAACACGGAGGGACAAGGCTCTGCGTCGGAAACCAGACACCGTCGAGGGGTTGGTTAAACTGCGTGGCCTCCATACAGGGAACAATGTTCAGCCAGTGAAAGTGCAGTTTCAACACAGGTGAAAGCGTGGGAGGCAGAGATGAGTTCATGACGTCCTCCAGCTGTCCAGGTGGCTTGCTCCCTCACCTCCATTCAAACGTCACCATCTCGGTTAGGCCATGATCAATCATTCTTAGCATCTGACTTTTCTTTAGCAAAATGAACGTATATATCACCGGATCACTGAGGATGTGCTGACTCCCAGGCCAGGCATAACGGCAGACACACTAATCACATCATTTCACCAGAAAGTTCAGTCAACTTACAAAGCACTGTAAGGTTCACCGTATAAAAATCACTGTGCTTCCCTCTAACAGAGCACTATAGATAAAGACTAACTTTAGTAACTGGCAAAATGATTTAAGGTTCAATCTTCCTAGTTGGATCCCAGTCTTCCTCTCCTACTTAAAAAAGAATGTTCGCAGGCACCGTCACCATGCTGTTTGTCACAAGGCTTGTGGTTCTGTCTAGCATTACAGATACGCGAGAACCAACTAGTAGGAGAGGAAGACTGGGATCTAACTAGTGATTTTTTTTTTTTTCCTCACCCGAGGATATTTTTCCATTTTTTGTACAGATAGAGTGGGAGGGAGAGAGAGAGAGAAACATCGACGTGAAGGGACACATCGAGTGGCTGCCACCCGCACGACTAACCAGGGCCAGGGACAAACTGCAACCAAAGTATGTGCCCTTAGGGGGAACCGAACCCAGGTCTCTCCGGACCGCAGGCCAACGCTCTAACCGCTGAGCCAAACTGGCCAGGGCTAACTAGTGATTTTTATATGGTGAACCTTACAGTCATGAACTCATCTCCGCCTCCCACGCTTTCACCTGTGTTGAAACTGCACTTGCACTGGCTGAACATTGTTCCCTGTATGGAGGCCACGCAGTTTAACCAACCCCTCTACGGTGTCTGGTATTTTTTCCCCAGCAGACAACTTTGAGATGGATGTTCTTGAGTGAAATCATAAGGCACATTTTTTCACCTTAGTTTATATTTCTAGAAATGAAATTCCTGGCTTAAAAAAAAGCATGTGCCCGTAAGGGTCTTAACAAACACTTCCAGATTTGGCTTTCCACAGTGCACCCGCTCCTGCTCCCGGCCCTGAGCGAGCCTGCTGGTCTGCCCCAGCCGGCCCGGGCCTCACTGTGGGTCTGGTCTCCGCTGCTGTGCTGGATGGGAGTGGACCAATACATCACATTAATTTAGTGTTCCTCAGCTCCCTTGGAAGGCCTAGGATAATAGTTCTTGTTTCTTTTGGCATCTTCTGAATGAAGAAACACCTAATGACAAGAAGCTGTTGTCAGTTTACGTTATCAATAAATGTGCTTTTAAGTACATCTATTTTGTATTAACCACAGCATTATTCATTAAGTAAAAAAAACTTGTTAAAAACAAAATCTAGTGAGAGACATCTTTGGTCCTCACACGCGTGTGCAGGGTTCACAGCCTTGCACTGCGGGGCCAGGGCACCGTCCGAGCCCCTGGGGGACAGTGTTACTTGACACAGGAGCAATAGAGGTTCTTTTCTGTTGAAACTTAGGTGTTAGAAACCTTTGTCGACTGAAAGCATTTTTATCTTTGAATATGTGGTGCAGGTGAATGTAGAACGTTCAAGAATAGTTAATCACTTAGGAAATGCCTTTAATAATTCTTAAATGTACCACATAGTTCCATGTATATGTGGAATATAAGCTGATGAACAAAACACAAATAGACTCATGGAAACAGAGACCAAAGGGCTGGTTACCAGAAGGGAAGGGGGGGGGCAAAAGGGAAGGGGATACACTCAATAATACCATGATCAGTTTGCACAGTGACAAGTGATTACTGGAGTCATGGGGGTGATCACACCAGAGTAAAAACAGTGTTGATCACTATGTTGTACACCTGAAACTAATACTGCATACCAACTATACTTAAATAAAAAAATTTAAATGTATAGTTTGAAAAAGTGTGTATTGTGTTGAATACTGTACCCCATCCGCCAAGTGTTGTCCACCCAGAGCTTCAGGATGTGACTTTATTAGGTGGGCGGGTCTTTGCACCTGTCATTAGTTGAGATGAGTCCTGCTGGGTTACAGTGGGTCCTCAATCGGATATGAGTGATGTCCTTATAAGAAGGCCAATGTGCGTGCTCGTGTGTGCACACGGGAGCTGGCCGTGGACAGGTGGACAGAGTTGAGTGATGTTGCCCCAAGCCAGAGGAGCCACCACTAGAGGCTGAAGGGGCCGGGAAGGGTTCCTCCCGAGACCCTTTGGAGGGAGCGTGGCCCTCCCAGCACTTTGACTTGGGACTTTTGGCCTCTAGGACCTTGAGAGAGTACATTTCTGTTGTTTTAAGTTTGAGGCTCTTTGTTAAGGCAGCCCTAGGAAACGAATCCAATTAGGAAATTGTATTTTACTTGACTGCCGTGTTAGAGCAGGGGCAGTGGAGTTGAACCTTTTCTGCTGTGGAAATTTTTTCTTACATAAAAGTTTCGACAGAAGTACAAAAATACATGGCACAGGTGGAATTCTCTGATTAAGACGGAGCTGGCGTTGCTCAGCTTTCCGAATTAGCATCTTCCTGTCCTCTCCTTCCTGTCGGCAGAGCACAGATGGAAAACCACGGCGTCCGTCTGCCCAGCGGCTTCCTCTTGCCCAGTGCGCGCTGGTTAGGGAGTCAGATAAGACAAGCTCGTGGGGAGCCCTCTGCTGAAGCTGGGGCACGGAGGCCTGCGGAGTCAGTGCTTTTCACCTTGGTGACTTTGTTACCCTCCGGGACCCAGAGAGGTTTCTGGTGTTCGACCCCTCTTGAATTGGGATGCTGGTGTGCAGGTGGTAGCTAATGTGCGTGGAGGGCTTGCTAGGTGCTGGCCAGCTGGGCAATGCCAGGCGACCTGAGTGCTGGCTGACACAGGTACATCTGGTGTGCTGGGTGACGGCTCCCCGTGCTTCCTAAGCGCTGCTTGTGCTGGGGTCCAGGCCCTGCTCTGTCCACATCTGTCCACTTGGATTTCATTCTTCAGCTGCCAGAGACATTGTCACCCTTCCTTCCAAGTTCCTGGGATCCCTCGTTTTGCCCCCAATTATTACCCGTGTCCTCTTTGAGTGATAGTCTGAATCTATCCAGGCAACCAGCTTGGTGGAAAGAACTGATGTTGGTTCAAGTGTTGGGGAGCAAAGCACTGACTATGGGTACCAGTGCCGGAGAACAGCCTGGGGATAAGGACACTGGAGACTCCTGTCCCTTCCTGAAGAGCAGGCTGGTGGGAGGGGGTCAGTAGCTGGTGTGTGTGGTAAAGAAGCACTTCCAGCCCTGGCCGGTTTGGCTCAGCGGCTGGAGCGTCGGCCTGCGGTCCAGAGAGACCCGGGTTCGGTTCCCGCTAAGGGCACGTACCTCGGTTGCAGTTTGTCTCCGGCCCTGGTTGGTCGTGCGGGTGGCAGCCACTCGATGTGTCCCTTTCACGTTGCTGTTTTTCTCTCTCTCTGTTCCTCTCTCTCCCTCCCACTCTATCTGAACAAAAAATGGAAAAATGTCCTCGGGTGAGGATAAGAAACAAAGAAGCACTTCCAAACCTTTCCAAGAGAAACAGCCTCGTCGCCAGGAGGCTGTGGGCTGTTACTCAGGCGTTTCAGGTCCCTACCCAGCTGCCACTGAGCACCACTGTGTTTGAGGACGGATTTTAATAAGTTATTTTAGGGACTTCTGAAAAGAACTAATTGCACACAATACTATACCCTACTTGAGTGAATCTGAAAAGCCATGATGGGCCTGGCCCGTGTGGCTCAGTGGGTGAGCGCTGACCCCTGCACCAGGAGGTCCCCGGTTTGATTCCCAGTCAGGGCACATGCCCGGGTTGCAGCCCGATCCCTGGTAGGGGGTGTGCAGGAGTCAGCTAATCGATGTTTCCCTCATCGTTGATGTTTCCCTCTCTCTCTCCCTCTCTCTCTCTGAAATCAATAAGAACATTTAAACAAAGGCCATTAATGATAAAATTCACTATTATTTTACGTGCCACGAAAAGAAAAGATGGACAATGAAAGCATATTGCATTGAAAGTGAGGGGTTAACACGAAGACACATTTCTGGGTGAGCATGTGGTGCTTCTGCGGCCGTGACTGCCAAAGCCCGAGTGGGGACCAGTCAGGGCCCCGGAGGCCAGCAGAGCCGTGGGGCGTGGGGCAGGTCCCACCCACGAATCTCGAGTTCTCCTTCTCTGCTAGGCCCTGTCGCCGTCTTACTGAGAGCAGACAGTGCATTTTACCGTTTCCTTTTTGTTCCCATTGAATATGTCGTACAGAACCTCTGTGCTGCTGGCAGCCTGTAGGGAGAGTGAGTGGGAGAGTTTCGGAACCCACCAGTTAGTCCAGTTTTCAGACTTGTGACTCAGGACACAGACTGTCTCCCAGCCCCCCACCCCTTCCCTCCCTCCCTCCCTGTCTTTCCTTGCAGAGATGAAGTTTCACAGTGAGTGATGAATTTATGAATCCTTTAAAATTGTTGTCCCGGGGAACGGACAGTTCCCCTGCACTGTAGTGATTTGGATTTTCTATGTTTGCTTTCAGAAAGGGGCCAGGTGTCCAATCTGCTGCAGCCCGCGCCCCTCCAAAGCCGTCTGCCCTGTGTGAGGGGCGCTGCGGGAGGGCCCCCCCTCGCTGCCCCGTGCTCCTGGACAGGTGAGCAGGGTCGTCTGCCACTTTGTGGGAGGCTCTCGGGACGGAGTTACCAGAGGAAGGTGTGAGCTGCACACACCTAGCTGCTCCTTCGAGCTCCCTAAATAGACTTGTGTGGGAAGGACGCATAACCCGGAGCCTGCTGTGACTCATCCGCTGCCACCACCATCATCGTTAGACTAGTTTTATGGAGCTAAACTCCTGAAAGTGGGAAGTCGATTTAATTTTCCTTTTTAAAAAATGTTCTTTAAAATTATTCACTTTCCAGTTGATACCGACCCTCGAAAAGGAGAAGGAAGATGGAAGCATCTTCTTCTCGATGTTCGGGAGGTTCTGAACGTCTTAGCTTCCAGGGTCTGGGCAACGCTTTTCGCCACAGATTGTATACCGTGGCCTCAGCGATGAGAGCTGTAGAATCTTTTTGTTTTTTAATTGCGATTTGAAATGGATGCTGAGGTGCCTGTGGATTCATGCTGCTCTGAGATTTATGGGGTGCCAGCTACGTGCTAAGCATAGTGTGGAGCCCGAGGGCTTGGGGTTACCATAGACATGGGCCACGGAGGGGGAGGCTCACGGAGCCCGAGCAGAGCAGAGTTCAGATGAGAGCATAGGTGGCCTGATTCAAGTTTTGGGCTGTTGGTACTATTATCATAACTAGCTCAGCTAACAGGATACATACTCTTAGTATGTTTTTTAAAAGAAATGAAAAGCAAAAAAAAAAAAAGGCATTAAGAACAGCAGTTTAAGCTTTAAAGTCTATACTCTGGGAATACAATCTGTCATACAATAACCTGATAAAAGAATAGCGCAAATATTCATTCAGCTGTTCATCCATCAAGTGTTTGAGGACCTTCTCTGTGTCCAGTACTGAGCTGGGAGCCACTCACATGTGTTCTGATGAGGCTTACGGTCTGATGGGGGAGACACATTAAAAAAATAACGTCATGTCCTGGGGTACGTGTTGCCAAGAAAACCACGGGACGCCTGATCCAGCGTGATGGGCAGACGGTCAGGAACCCGTCTCTGAGGGGTGACATTTAAGCTGGGAGCTGAACATTGAGATGAAGAGCTTGGGGAAGAGCATCCAGGGAGGGAGCCTGGTGGACCGAGGTGAGGAGCCTGACATGGGCAGTGGGCCCGGATTGGGAGAGGTGGGCCAGGTTGGACCCGCAGACGGGTCGTGGGAAGGAGTTTGGGTGATTTTAAGCAGAGATGTGATGTAATTTGATTTTTAAAACTATCTTGTTTACCTGTCTCCCTTCTCTAGAAGGAGGGGGAGATGGAGAGAGACAGGCCAATCTGAGATACACTTGGGGGCCCACGTGGCCTGAGTTGTTTGCGAATTAGATGTGGGTGTGGGGAGAGCAGGCAGGCGGTAGGAGCTGGAACCAGGTGGCTTGGCACGTCGGGGGAGGTGCTGCTGATGGGGGTCGGGGGAGGCTCAGCTCGGGTGCTGGACTGGCCACGGCCTGTGAGTGGTTGAGAGTGGTCAGGAGAGAGCAGGGTGAAGGCAGAGGGGCTCAGGAGCCAGCTCAGAGGAAGGAGGAAGAGCGGCGAGCGAGGTCCCAGGCGCCAGGAGCGGGTGCTGCGTGGCTGGAGGAGATGCCTGCGTTCAGGGCCTGGCCAGGTGAGGGCTATCTAGGCACCTCCTGGTTCTCACAGGGTTCGTACAGTCCTGACGTCGCAGAAACACATGGCACCTTGAGAACGCACCTCAGCATCGTGTTTATAGGGCATGTAACGAAAAGGAAAGAGACACTTGGGAAAACCGTGCAGGGCTTGGTGTCTGCTTGAAGCCCAGAGGAAGCAGCCCCAAGCCCAGGACCCGTCGGGGGAGGTGCGCAGGAGCAGGGAGCTTAGGTGGGAATGTGTGGATAGTTCCTGTTCCGCTGAGGGATTGTTTCTGTTTTTTGAGGAGAAGGGATTCTGTATTTTTCTTATTAATAGCCAAGCACGCATTCTGTCTTTTCTTTCATTTCATTTATCACTCAAATAATAACACGTCATGGGGAGGTAGTGGAATCCTGCCCCTTTGATTCCGTGTGGGGATGTGACTAAAAGGCTGTTTGTGCTCTGGATCTCGGGGCTGGTGTCTGTCCTGAGAGGTGTACTAACCAGTGCAGATCCACAGAGACCGTAACTGCGGGTGAGGGTGTGGGGCCTCGTGGGCAGGAAGGTCTGCTGCTGCTCCCCTCCACAGAGAAGGCGGTAACCAGGCCCTTCTTGCCCGTCCCCGCCCCCCGCCCCCCGCCCTCCCCAGCTTGCCTGCGGAAGTCCTGCTGAAGATCCTGTCCTACCTGGATGCTGCGGCCCTGCTCTGTGTTGGATGTGTGAACAGACGCTGTTATCATCTGGCCAATGACAAGTAAGGAGGAAGCCAAAGGTCTCTTGTGTTTTGATAGACGTCCTGAGAACTAGTCAGGCCTTTTTAACCAGTTTGTAAACATTTTTAATTTAAAATAATTAATTTCAGGCCCGGTCGGTGTGGCTCAGTGGTTGACTGTCGACCCTGCACCAAGAGGTCACTGGTTTGATTCCTGGTCAGGGCACATGCCCAGGTTGTGGTCCTGATCCCTGTGGGGGACATGCAGGAGGCAGCCAGTCAATGTTCTCTCTCATCGATGTTTCTATATCTCTCTCCCTCTCCCTTCCTCTCTCTCTAAAATCAATAAAGAACAAAAAATTAATTTCAAGAGTATTTTTAGACATACTGTTTCTGGTGATAGTTTGAAAGATTGGCATCTCTTTGCTTTAAATGGAAAAAGCTCGGACTTGGTATTGGTGTGGCTGATGGGGCAGGTGGCTTCTGGTCTGCCGGCCAGGAGACATGCTGTGTCCTGAGAAGCAGACGGACTTGCCCACAGTCGCACCACACGGGCTGGCCTGGCCGGTCCTGTCTGGGTGTGCAGGGCGGGTGCGTGTGCTCAGCTGACTGGCAAGCAGGTTCCGGAGGGACGGGGCTCTGTTAGGTGTGTTTGGGGACCACCTGAACATGCCACCTGGGGAACCCTGCTCAGTGGGGAAGCGTGAAGGAGGGTGGGTGAAGGCCGGGAGGGTTCTCGCATGGAGGCTTTGCCCCAGAGGCAGGAAGCCAGAGGGGGCGAGGGTCACGCAGCTCACCCGGGCCAGTGGGGCATCTGTGAGGGAGGACAAGACCCTCCTTTGTGTTGTTTTTCTGATCTCTCTCTGCAACTTGGAATTTCATCTTGGGGGTGAGCTATTGGACTCCTCCGAACTTCTTGTGAGAATTTTGTGTCCTACAGCTGAACATCTAGGCTTGTAGGTTTGTGTCTCCTTCCCCAGCAGGAGGTCAGACAGATACTGCTCAGCCAGAGGAAGACCAGGAAGTGGACGCAGGTTTCACGGGAGGAATAGTAGATGGGGTGAACGGCAGAGGGCGCTGTGATCCCGGGCAGCCTTAAGCATCCTCTGTGTGGTGGTTCTCAGAGGCCAGTACCAGAGCGGCCGCACTGGGACCTGCTGGGCAAGTTCAGCACGAGGGCGCCTGGCCTGCACTGGGGATTCACTCTTGTGCGCTGAGACCTGCACTTTAAGTTTGTCCAGGTCACACTGACGGACCCGCGTTCTCACAGCCAGGCGGGGGCGTCAGCCTCGCTCCGGGTGTGAAGGGCGGCTTTTCCTGGCTTTTAATTTCAAAGGACGTTTTCTGTACGGGGGGATGTCTGTCTGTCTGTCAGTCCATTTGTCAACACACACACACACACACACACACCCACACACACCCAGGTGAGACTGTGTTCTCAGCAACAGATGTGGGATGGATGCAGAGCAGCCCGAGCGGGTCTTTTTAAATAAGAGGTGGGGGTGCTCACGCAGCGAGGTGTGGTGAGGGGTGTTCAAGGCGGGCCAGCCAGAGGCCCCAGGCGGTAGCTTGCTCCCAGGGTAGAGCCCAGAGCTGACATGGCAAACTCCCAGTTTCCGTAGCTGTCTCCTCTCCCTGCTGTTTGCTCATCCGCTCCTTCCCCCAGTTTCATCTGGGTCAGAATCTACTCAGCTGCCTTCTCGCCCAAGAGCTGCACCTGGAGAGCTGATCCGGTGGAGAGGACGGCGGCGTCTGTGAGCTCACTGTCAGTCGAGGACAAGGAAGCTGGCTACTGGAAGAAGGAGTACATCACCAAGCGGATAGGCTCCGTGAAGGCCACTGTAGCTCAGGTCCTCAAGGTCATCAACCCCTACACAGGCCTCCCGGCCAAAACCAAGGAGGCCCTCAGGTACGCGTGCTTCTCCCGTGCCGGCGTCGCGCTTGCGCGAGGACTGCTGACCATTTACGTGTCACCAAGAAGGAGAGCGGTGGCGTGGGCGCAGACGACTGTGTGCACAGGACTGTGTGCACCTCGCACTGTGAGGGCCGTCTCTCGATACTCGTGTGTTTCTGTGCGGATGAGCCCTGCACAATTCTCCTCCTCCATGGAAGCGGTCTCGGGCTTTCACGAAGCGCAGAGATGGCCCAGTGCTCTGCTCCAGTGAACGGGCAGTCAAGGCCCTTCTCCTGGGCCAGGCCTTTATTTATTTTCTTGGCTCTTCTGTGCATTGCTGGTACCGAGAACATAGCAGGTGTTCAGTGGGTGAGGAGACAAGGTCTAAAGAGAGGGGGCCTGGCCGGTGTAGCTCAGTGGTTGAGCATCGACCCATGCACTGGTTTGATTCCTGGTCAGGATACATGCCCAGGTTGTGGGCCCCATCCCCAGTGGGGGGCATGCAAGAGGTAACCAATCAATGTTTTCTCTCATTGATGTTTCTATCTCTCTCACAAATCAATAAAGATTTAAAAAAAAGAAAACTGTTGGGGTGATGAAAACCCATATTAGTCATATTCTGAGAACTTTGATGTTAGGGAAGTAGATGCTTTATTTATTTATTATTATTTTTTTATTAATTTATTTTTGTAATAGATGTTTCTCCTTTTTTCCCCACTGACACCCTCCTCCCCATCCCACCCCATCCCCAGCTTTGTTGTCCATGTCCATCGGTTATGCATATAAGTTCTGTGGTTTCTCTCTTCCCTCCCCCCTTCCCTCTCTTCTGAGGGTTGTCAGTCTGTACTTTACTTCCACGTCTCTGGGTCTACCCCATTCCTCAGACTGTTATTTTCATTATATTCCACAAATAAGTGAGATCATGTGATATTTGTCTTCTCTGCTTGGCTTGTTTTGCTTAGGATAATACTCTCCAGGTCCCTCCATGTCGTCTCAAAGGATAAGAGATCTTTCTTTCTTACAGCTGTATAGTACTCCATTGTGTATATGTACCACACCTTTTTTATCATTCATCTACTGATGGACATTTGGGCTGTTTCCAGATCTTAGCTATTGTAAATAGTGCTGCTATGAACATGGGGGTACATATATTCTTTCTGATTGGGTATAGTGTTTTATTTAGAGTCTCTGTTTCCTTGTTAATTTTTGTCTAGAGAATCTATCCAGTGATGTCAGCAGGGTGTTGAAGTCCCCTATGATTGTATTGCTGTCGATTTCTCCTTTGATGTCCTCCAGAAGATTTTTAATATATGTTGGTGCTCCTATATTGGGTGCATATATGTTTACCAAGGTTATATCTTCCCGTTGGATAGATCCTTTCAATATTATGTAGTGACCTTCTTTGTCTGTAGTTATGGCCTTCATTTTGAAATCTATTTTATCAGATATGAGTATTGCTACCCCAGCTTTTTTTTCCTTTTTGTTTGCTTGGAAGATTTTTTTCTGTCCCTTCACTTTCAACCTATGTGAGTTTTTTGTTGTGAGGCGGGTCTCTTGTAAACAAGATATATACGAGTTTTGCTTTTTTATTCAATCAGCTACTCTGTGTCTTTTTATTGGAGCATTCAATCCATTTATATTTAAGGTGATTATTGATATGCACTTATTTTATTGCCATTTTTGTTTAGTGTGGTTATATTTTTCTTCCTGTTTCTTCTACTAATTACAGCAGTCCTTTTAACATTTCTTGCAGTGCTGGTTTGGTGCTAATGTATTCCCTTAGCCTTTTTTTTTCTCTTCTTTTTGTCTCGGAAGCTCTTTATTTGACCTTCTATTTTGAATGATAGCCTTGCTGGATAGAGTAGTCTTGGATTCAGATCCTTGTTTTTTTTTTATGACCTTGATTACTTCATGCCATTCCCTTTTAGCCTGTAGTGTTTCTGTTGAGAAGACAGCTGAGAGCCTTATGGGGGTTCCTTTGTAGGTAACCTGTTACTTATCTCTTGCTGCCTTTAGGATTCTCTCTTTGTCTTTAATTTTTGGCATTTTAATTACTATGTGTCTTGGTGTGGGCCTGTTTGGGTTCTTACATTTTTAGTTGTCCCACAGTTTTAAACTGTCTTCCTGTTTTTTAATTGTTTTTTTCCTTTTGGTTTTCTGATTGGTCGATTTTTTTCCACCCTGTCATCTAATTCACTGATCGGGTCCTCAGCTTCCTCTACTCTGCTGGTTAGTCCTTCCAATGTGTTCTTAATTTCTGCTATGTCATTCTTCATTTCTTCTTGGTGGTTTTTCATTTCCAATTGGTTGATTTTCATTGCTTCTATGTCTTTACTCATGGTGTTGATGTCCTTACTCATGCTGTTGAGCTTCCTCAAGATCATGGCTCTGAACTCTACCTCTGATAACTTGCTTAACTGCATTTCATTGATCTCATCTTTGGTAGAGGTCTCTTGTTCTTTCATTTGGGATTTGTTTCTTTGTTTCACTATTTTAGCTATCTCAGTGGGTTTTGTAGCCTGCCAAATTTTCCCTGTGGGTGTTGGTGTTCGGCTGTTTGTGGCTCCCTTTCCTGGGTTTGGATGTGTGTGGGAGGACCCTAGTTAAACACCACTGTCAAGCCTTACTTTCCTGGATAGATCTGCAAGCCCAGGAATGGTACAGTTATCCTTTAGCTCTTTGCCTGGAGGCTATCAGTAGCGGTTACTTGAAGAGCCCTGGGTTCTCAGTTGAATAAAAAACTCACCCAGGTGCTCAGTGTAAGGGGATTTTTCGAGGGTGGGGCAGATGCTGGTTGTCAATGGGCCTCAATTTGCATTTTTTGGCCCACCTGGGTGGGACTAAGCTCTGAGGGAGGGGTCACTGCCTCTCCCCAGAGCCCTGGGAAGGAGTAAGATGGCCACTGTTCTGCGTGGCCACAACTCAGCAAAAGCTCTGAGTGCCCTCCAAATCCCGAGTGTCCCGCACAGTTCCAGTCCAGTCTGCCCTCCCTTTGTTGGAACCCAAGGTGAGTGGCTGTGCCTGATTTAGTGCTCTGTTCCGGCTCTGTGCTGTGGAGCTGACTTGGGATTTTAACCCCAAGGACACTGCTCCCAGCTAAGACCTCTGCTGTCTGTGGGCTCCCAGACCCCTCTCGTGCCTCCGCAATCCTCCCAGGATCGAGTCAGTGTCCCTGGTTATATGGTTCTCTCAAGCTGCTTTTCTGTTGCTTTTTCCCAATGATTTGGCTTTATTTTAGTTGTAATTCCAGTTTGGTCATGGGAGGTGGTCTGTGGAGCTTCCATTCACTTTGCCACCATTTTAGAATTCCGGGAAGTAGATGCTTAAGAGATTATAAGAGAAATAAACTTCAGCATTTTTTTTTTTCCAATGAGGTCAACATTTTTAGCTGGCTTTTCTTTCTCCAGAATATCGGGTCTAGGTTGGGTAATTATACTGAAAGAAGAAAGTGGAAAGGAACACGTCCTGGAGCATGTTGATCTTTTCATAAACGACTCCTCGGTCACGATTGTGTGGTATGGCAAGAACTGGCCATGCCTGGCTGCATTGTCCACCTTGGACTTGTGTGGCGTGACACCAGTTTTTATGGATCGGTCCAAGCCCACCACCAAAAATGGGTAAGTACTTATCCAGCAGAACTTCGGGGTGAGAACATCTTATATGTAAATACTGGTTGGCATCACTTTGCTATTTAAAAATACCACCAGTGTGGTTTACTCTGATTGCATCCTAAAGAATTCTCTCATCCTGGGTCATAGGATACAAAAAGAATGGGCTCATCACATGTATGATTAGGTCTGAATATAGGTTCTTCTTCTCTTGGCTATCTGTAATGACTAGGGAATGGCATTCTGGTTAACAAAATTTCCTGGATGACGGATGGCTAACCTTTGGTGGATCTTAGTTTTAACCATCTTAACACAACGATGTGTAAAAATATTATACATTCATTAGTAAATGGTGTAATAATCACAGTATAAACATTGGATCCTAAAGTCATAATTATTAGTAATTTCTAAGGGCTTTTCTAGACTTGTGGGTAAGTGATCACTTTCTCAGCGCCTCCGCCTTCTCATCTGTAAAGGGGGGTGGTGCCGTATTTCACACGCATGGCTGTGAAGACCACAGGCTCCCACTGTGAGATGCACAAGTCGGATCGTGTGCATCAGAGCTGGTGCTGGCCAGGGACCCCACCTGTCGGGAAGCGGCTTCGTGCTGACCCCACGCGCAGTGTAAGCTGGCATCTTGCTGTTCCCAGCAGGGCTCGCGCTCACACCCTGACCCTCAGCCCTGCCTCCCGCACGAGGAGCCGTGGCACGTGCAGCACCCCGACCTCCTGCTCCCGTGCACGTCTCTGGAATTCGCGGCCCTGCAGGGCAAGGCTGCCCTCCAGGGTTGCTTCCCTGCCCTGACACCCCCTCCACCGTCTGCGTGTCCTTTGGGGTTGTGGTGGCATCTGGCAGGTCGCTGTTTTTCCCTTGCGTGCTGTGGTCCCCTGGCTTCTCACACATGTCCTCGCTGTGGAAGGACAGAGATGGCGCACACGGGGCCTGCCGTCTCCACGGAGGGACGGTGTTCTTTCGTGGTTCCCTGGACACGGTCACAGTTCTGCGACTTCATATCTGGGACCTCGTTTTTGGCTGCTGTCTGTGATGCTGGCTCTTTGAGGATTGTGTCCCTGAGCCCTTATTTCTAGTGGTCATGCTGTAAATGTGAGTGTTGGGCCTCCAGGTGCTGAGGATTCCGGCTGGATGGTATTGTGAAAATCATACCCTCAACGCCGGGATGAAGAACATGGAAATTAGTTTCCTCGATTATATTCCCGAAGATGCCATGTCAAGCACGGTTACTTTCTAAGTGGAACCTTTATTTGGGTAACCCTCTGAAGCGTCCCAGGGTCATGCCGGACGCCAGACGTTTCTCCGTGGCACTTGGCTTTCACACCTTGGCTGGTCTGCAGAGCGGGTCCCGGCCCTGTGCCGCTCTGGCTGAGCAGCGGTGTCGTCAGAGAGTCAGGCAGCACTGTTCACGCCAGTGAACAAAGTCTGGAAAGACCAGGCCGGACTGCTACACGCAGCGCCGTGACAGAAATGCCAGGCGTCACTGGGGGTGCGTCTCACGGGTCTGTTTCCACTGACCCAAAGTGGCTTCGGCCAGTGCTGACCACCTGCCGGCCACACAGGAGGGGTGGTGGTTCAGGCGCCCGTGCTGGCTGGCCCTCGTGTTGACGCACGGCCCTGCGCAGCTGGGGACAGCCATGGAGACGCATGCTTCCGTGCGCCTCCTTCTGTCCTCCGTGGGAACCTTTTGCAAGAACATGAAAGCCATAATCATGTAATTTGCAACTTGAATTTCCCTGTAATTTATACCTTTCTAGTCAGACTCCTGAAACTGTCTCCTCTGCCCCAACGCCGTCCATTCTGTCGTGTCAGCTGTAGCTCCCCAAATCTGCGAGCACGTTGGGTGGCCGCCAGCCCACTGTCTGTGGCAGGCCCTGCGAGGCCACGGCGAGTGGGGCTGCGCACGCCCTGCGAGGCCGCCTCTCAGCGTCAGCGGGGTCTCCGCGGAGGTTCTCCCACGCGGCGGGAACGCGTGGCTCCTGCAGCCGTGGCGGGGGAGCGTTTGCCTGTTCCCCGCTGCCTGTTCCCCGCTGGCTTCGGTGTGGGGGCCTGAGCGCAGGGTGGCCCGGCCCCTCGGGGTTCGCTGTGCTGAGCTGTGCGCAGGCACCACTGCCGCCGCCTGCGCTCGGAGTTTTCCCGTCCGCCCAGGTCCCTGGGAGGGACGGCTGTCCACCGCTGCCGGTGCCGGCCTTCGCTCTCTGCCGGCCAGCGGGGGCGGCCGGCTGTGTGTCTCACCCAGCGGAGCTCCCGCTCTCGGCGCCGATTCTGACGGAGTTCACGGTGCGTCTCCATGAGAACCTGACTTTGGGTCCAGTTTATTTTCTGACATTACAGGATTTGCTCTCCGAGTCACGCTGATGGCCACTTGAAAAGCACACTCACTGCCACGCAGCCGCGAGGCCACCACTTTCTTGTCATTTAAAGCGTGTCATCTCGGCTCACGCATTACCCACTCACTGGGGACGCGCACCCAGAATCCACATTGTGGGGGCCACGTGCTGGGTGTGAGGGGAGAGCGTGAAGGGCCCCTCCTCGCCTGCCTCCCCGATCCTTCAGCCTCTGCCGGGGCCACCCACCTGCCCGCCGGAGCCCAAGGGGGGAAAGGAGAGCGGGGTGGGGCAGAAGCTGGGGTTGGCCACTGCCTTGGAGTTAGAGTTGTTTGTGTCCCCTGCCCTGAGCATGCCCCCTGCTCGCGCTGTGGGTGCCGTTGGCATGCCCTCCCAGTGTGGCTCAGACACTATGGAACAGAAACTGCGGACGTGAGAGCTCACTTCTCTCTCCTTCCTCTGACATGCGCGAGCAAGACCTCGATGGCACTCCCTGGTCGCCAAGTACAGTCTGAAGGACTTAGCTGACGCCACCTTGATAGGCTGCGACAGATTCGTTCGGGTCTTCCACCTCGACCCAGGCCTCCTGGTGGGGCTGTGGAAGGTAAGACGGGGCGGTGCCGTCCCTCCTCTCGGCCACGGCCGCTCACGTGGGCCGGGTGTCAGGTGGGCGGTGCTTTCAGACTTCCCGCGAGCTGCACCCGTGTTCCCGTCCTACTAGCGTCACTTTGTAGCAAGATGACCCTGGACGCAGTGGAGGCTCCTTTGCTGTTCTGCCCGCACAGGCACAGGCTCCCTCACTCTCCTGGGACGTCCCGTCCCCTCCAGCAACTCACATTCCTTTCTTCTCTCCCGTCCCCTCTCCGCCCAAGTCTCTGGTTTGACCTGGGAGTCTCACTGGTTCTGACCCTGTGGGTGTGGCGGTGAGTGTGCCCGCCAGGCAGGGAAAGGCCTGAGGATGCCCCCTCCCGCCAGGCGCGGTGCCGCCTCCACCGCCAGGCCGCAGGCCTGCTCCTCCGCGGGCTCACTTCCTGGGCAGTCACCTCGCGGGCAGCATCAGTGTGATCTTCCCGCGTTCAGCGTGGGTTCCTCAGTGGCTTTGGCCCGTGGGTGTTTTCAGACAGCAGTTCCCAGACTGGCTCCGAGAACGTGGTGTGTGTCCATGTGGGGAGACTCCCAGGACCGTTCGCCCGCCTCGGCCTCTGGTGCCTCTTCCCTGCTCACCCTGCTCCAGGCGGGCCGCCAGGGGCCAGGCCACGTTTGCCCGACTTGAACCCGCCCATCTCTGTTGGCCCTTGAGGTTACGGTTGGCCTCTGTCTGCCCCTGGGTCACCTGCCCCAGGCAGTGTCAGCTGTGACTTGGGGGGAGTAGGGTCAGTTCCTGGACAGTCACATTTTCTGTGTCCCCCGACCTGATGGATGGATGAGGACTGGGACCTAACTGTTCCCTCTGGTCGTGCCGGCCGAACAGGCCGTCCAGGGAGACACGGCACGGTGCTCGGTGTTTGTGGAATCGACCTGTGTCTGGGGAGCTCTCCCCGCAGCCATCTGTGTCTTTGCAAAGAGTTTGAGATGACCTGGAACCAACAGGCTCTGTTTCACAATCACCGTGGACAGTCCGTGTTCTGCTGGTCCGCAGGTGGTAGGATGCGCCCCCTTTCACTGCGCCCTGCGTGTCTGGGGGCGTGGCCCTCTGTCCCTGCGACCGAGCTGGCTCACCACATGGTGACGGCGCTGTGGCTGGAGCCACGCCTCAGCGCCCGTGGGCTCCCAGCTCCAGGACCGCCTCTGCCTGTAAGGCGAACACACTGTGACCTTCACCACGACCTTGTGAAGGGTGAGCCACCTGGGCTCAACGTGTGCTCTTCCTCCTCCTCTTGCAGCGGGCGGAGGAGCTGGCGTTCGTCGTGGCGAGTCTGCACTTCCACCAGCTCGTGGAGAGGAGCACGCTGGGCTCAGCCGCCGCGTAGGTACAGGGCACGGGCTGCTGCTGGGGGGTCGGCAGGGGCCCGGCTGGTGCCACCTCAGTCCCGAGAAGAGCCGCAGAGAGGGTCCTCGGCAGACACAGCCGCGGGCGCAGTCGCTGACCATGGCTGAGCTGGTTGGCTTGCCCGTGGGCACATCTGCTTCATTTGTTCTGGGTTAAGGGTTCTGTGCCCCGTAGCGCATTATTTACAGGGCTGGGTGCTGCCCTTGCCGAGAGATGCCAGTGTGACCAGGGGCCTCCTGCTCTCTACCAACATGAGCGCTCAGAGCTGGGGGCTCGCAGACCCCTGGCTGCTGGCTGCGTCCGGCCTGAGGTGCCTTTTCACCTGGTCTCTGTCATGCGGGCCTTTCAGTGAATCGAGGGTCTTCAGGTGGGGAGCGTGCTTTCCGTTTCGTTACAGGTGGCTCGCTCACTCAGGTATTACCTGGGACGCTCCGAATGCTTGTGCTCCGTGTAGTGAGGGTGCTCGCACCGAAGGGGGCTCTGCTCCTCGTGGGCTGGGCCATCTGCCCAGGGCCCTCCCCTGGGGGCTGCGGCAGGTGCTTCCCTATGGCAGTGGGCCCCGGACCCCGAGCCACCGAGGAGCGGAGCTGCCCCTGCAGAGCTGCTGCCCTGGGTGGGCTGGCACCCTGCGGAGCTCACGGCTCTGTATCTGCGGAAGTTGGTAGGAGTGGGGCGCCGAGCTCGTGGTGTTGGAGGTTCCTGGGACCCCTGCCGAGGATGAGCGGGCTGCTGCCGGGGTGCACGCTGGTTTTTTGAGTATTTTCAATTCAAGCACTTTATCTCTGGTGTTGACAAATTTGTGTGTATGTTTTGTTCTGCCTTTTAGCCCCTATGAGCTGCCTCCTCATACCCCGCTCTTGGACGACAGCCCTGAGTATGGACTGCATGGCTACCAGCTCCACATCGACATCCACAGCAGTGGCACCTTCTCCCTGTGCAGCACGTTCCGCAACCTCTTCACCAAGAAAGGTGACCGCCCGCGTCTCCGTTTCAGTGTGAAATGAAAAGGCTGGGGAGAGCAGGGGACCCATGTTTGTATCCGAGTTAGGAACTGCCTGCCTGCCTGGTCACTTGGTCGTTGACTGGCTCTTGGTCCTCCCGGACCCTGCCGCCGTCTAGGACCTGTGAAATCGCTCCGGCAGGGCTGATCCCGTTAGCTCTGTCTGTCCCCCGTCTCTCTCCTCTTCCTCCTGAACATGCTCACTCACCTCCTCCGCTCGGACCTTCCCGATCGTTCGCCCACCACGCCCTCTGTCTAGTGCGCTGAGACTTGTCTACGTCTTACAGTGGGCGCACGTTCCACGTGTCCTGAAGGAGGGTCCGTGGTGTGCCGAGTGCTGGTCACTGGTGTCGTGGGTCAGGCAGGGGGTCGAGGGTGCTGACGCCTACTGTGTCCTTGCTGATTTCCTGCCTGCTTGTCGTAGCAGTCGTCATGAGAGGAGCGTCGGAACCTCCAGCTGCACCTGTGATTCGCGTGCTTCTCATCGACGTTCTTTCAGTTCTTGCTACTTGCAGCTGGAAGCTCTTATTTCATTCGTGAGCATCGGCGATTGTTCCGATGATTATGTTCTCTTGACTGATGGGCCCTTTATCATTTATGAGACGACCTTCCTTGCTCCTAGAGATCGTATTTGCTCTGAAATCTGTCGCGCCTGGTAAACATAAGCACTCCAGCTTTTTATTTAATTTTTTTTTCTTTAGAGAGAGGAAGGGAGAAGGAAAGAGAGAGAAACATCGATGAGAGAGAACATCGATTGGCCGCCTCCTGCACGCCCCCCCCTGGGGATCGGGCCCACAATCTGGGCACGTGCCCTTACCGGGAATCGAATTGGAGGGCTCTTGGTGGCTCTTGGTGCAGGGTCGATGCTCAACCACCGAGCCTCACCAGCTGGGCGTGCTCCAGCTGACTCGGGCTAGTGGGGGCACGGTGTGCTCCCCCCTTCCACGTTAAACTTGTCCTTCTTCAGTCCCTGATGATCTGAGTCCCTCCCTTTTCCTCTGCACAGCTTCTGCACTTTCGCTGATTGCTTCTAGTGTTGACACGTTTCTCTAGCTTGATCAGATTTAGCTTTTTCTTTTTTCGTCAAGAATACTTCATATGTGATACCCTGTACTTCCTACTGAATTTTTCAGAGGGATGTAGCAGTTGCTATAATTATATTCAGAATGATCATTGAGTTCAGGGAATTTTCAGCCTGGTTTTTTATTATGACTTTCTCCATGATATTTGCCAAATAGTATACCAAATGATGGGTACTTATTTACATTTTTGTTAGCGATTGTAAAATGGTGATTTTCTAGTTCTGTCATCCTTTCTACATCTATTAGGTAGGATTCTTCTGTAAAAAAGAGTTTTGTCTTATCAACTGTTTAGTTACCATGAAATATAGTTCTACAGGGAAGGCAGGCACACGCTTGATTCTTTTTCTATAAATTTACAGCATAGTGAGCTAATGTTCTAACAGTCTTCGAAGAAGACTTGTAAGCTTTTTCAGAGGTATTGTTGTTAAATCATGGTGCTTCCCTCACTCCTCCTCACTGGGGATTGAGCCTGCACCCCGTGAATGCTTATGTTCAAAACACTGGCTTCGCCCTGGCCGGTTTGGCTCAGTGGTTAGAGCATCGGCCTGCGGTCCAGAGAGACCCGGGTTCGGTTCCCGCTAAGGGCACGTACCTTGGTTGCAGTTTGTCCCCGGCCCTGGTTGGTCGTGCGGGTGGCAGCCACTCGGTGTGTCCCTTTCCCGTCGATGTTTCTCTCTCTCTCTCCCTCCCACTCTATCTGAACAACAACAACAAAAATGGAAAAATGTTCTCAGGTGAGGATAAAAAAATAAATAAATAAAACACTGGCTTCAGTTATTTGGTATCTAGTGTTTGTTTTTATAAATTTTTAAAATTTTATTTTCTTTCTTTCTTTTTTGTATTTTATTTTTTATTTTGTTTATTTTTGTTACAGATGTTTCTTTTTCCTCCCAGACACCCTCCTCCCGATCCCGCCCCCCCGCCCCAGCATTGTCTATTCCATTGGTTATGCATATATACATATATTTTAGAGAGAGAGAGGAAGGGAGAGGGACGGAGAGACAAACATCCATGAGAGAGAACATTGATTGACCGCCTCTTACGTGCCCTCCACTGGGGATTTGACTCACAACCTGGGCCCTGACCGGGAATCGAACTGGCGACCTCTTGGTGCAGGGTCGACGCTTAATCACTGAGCCACACCAGCCGGGTGGTATCTAGTGTTTTTTTTTAAATTTAGACTCACATTTTAGAATATTTATAATTTTCATTTTCAGAAATCTGTGTCTGATCCAATTACACTCAGGTTCTCTACTTTTCATTGAGTCAGTTTTAGTCCTTATGTGATTTCCTAGAAAAGCACTTGTTCAGTTTGATTTTCTTTCTAGCTTTTTTGAGTTGACTGCCGAGATTGTTTAATTCTCTGGTTTTCTTCGGTGTGCTTTTGCTGTGCCCAGAGTCCAGGACTCTAGGGTCAGGACGGAGCTGCAGGTGCTCTGGAGAACGACCCTGTGTACAGTCACTGTTCCTTGGGTTGTTAGGTGATCAGCTCGGTCGCGCTCTCACGTGACAGGGTCGCTCAGGCCCATTCGTCTGTTTCCTGCCCAGACGGGAACGGGTCATTTTCTCCAGGAGTGCTGCTTCCTTTTAGTTCCTGCCACACTGGGGTTAGAGACCATAGTCTGGATCCGAGAGCTGCGCGCTTCTCCGGGGTCTTCACTCCTTTTAGGGTTTCGGTAGACAGAGCTAAGAAGTTTGTAGATTTTATAATGTGAAGAAATAAGTCCTGCATTCATTTAAATTCAATATCTTAGATCTAGAGAATGACTGTCCTGGGCTTGATGCTGCTCTGCAGCTTCTGACCAGGGTCCTGCCTGGGCACAGCCCACCCCATTTCACGAAGGTCTGAAAATCCTCCTTCCTCAAGCCCAAATTAATTTCTCTGCGCTTCATTCCATTTACCTTTATGCCTTGTTGTTGACATGAGAAGATCTCATCCGTCTTCTCCGCAGAGGCTATTGAGGTGTTCCTAACGTGCCCAGGTCAGGGTGCCAGTGCCTGTCCTCGGGCCGGCGCCAGTGGAGACTCCTGGCCCCGGGCACCTCTCTCCTCCAGCATCTCCGCCCTGACCTGACCTGACCTCAGTCCCCTTGGGAGCCTCTCATCTGGGATCAGGTGTCTTTGCTCTAGGGCTGCCTTGGGGGTGGGCCTGTCTAGGACTTCAGAGGCAGGGGCACCCTCCCCTCGGGGAAGTGCACATCTCATGCACTCCTCCTCCAGAGCTGTGCCCTTCGTAACGCTGACGCCGACGGGACGGGGACGTCCGTGGGCCCTCATGAGAGGTTCTTGCTGAATGCTTTATATGTGTGATGCTTATTTAATTCAATCTTGGTAGCAAGCCTGTGAGCCCAGTACTGGTATTTCTCCCGTGGTGTCTCGGTGCCGTGGCTGAAGCTGATGGAGCGGGTCAGCCCTGGATCTGCCCAGCCCACCTGTGGCAGGTCTTCCTCTCACCCAGGCCAGCTGCCCCCAGAGCTGCGCCTGAACCCCGGGGCTACACCGTCTCCGGGGTATCTCTGCTGGTCAGCGATACGCTTCTACAGAATGTCTTCTTGTGTGCGGGACTCTGTCTTTTCAGACTGTTGGTATCGGCAGGGTGGTCAGGTAGACCTTTCTCTGTGGGATGGTGAAGCTGCCTCTAAGCCACTTTCTATTACTGCTGACACCCCGAGAAGGTTAGATGTTGTTACGACACTGGGCAGGAAGTGAAGTGAAGGACAATGGAAACTGACGGGGATAATTCACCTGTGCATGTCGTCTTCACTATAAAAACACATTCCACCCTAGGAAGGCTTTGCAGGAGGCTTAGGTGCGTTTTCTCGGCAGTGGTTCTGCGGTCAGCAGAGGGCGCTGCTGCCATCAGAGTGGCTCCGGGGTTAGCAGTGGAAGGATGGCAGCCCTGCTGGCTCCACCGTCCACCCAGCAGACTCCGGCCTGCTGCACAGTCAGGCACGCACACTCTGCCCCGTTTATAAAGACCACTTTCTCTCTGTCAGGGAGGAACGGTGTCATTGTCATGTCCCTGGAATCGAGGCGGCCTGTCTGCTGTTTGTCACCAGTGAGCTGAGAGAAACCCGGCTGACTCGGGTGGGTCTGTAGGGGTGGCGGGAAGTCCTTCATTAACGACCAGCTGTGGAGGGCAGGGCCCTGCGGAGCCCGACAGCTGGACAGCTGTGTGGCCACGCGGCCTGTCCTCCACAGGGCGGGCACAGGCAGCCTGCTGAGCCAGTGATGGGCACACGGGGGGCGGAGGTGGCTCTCGGGTCAGGGCTCCTGGCGGGTTCTGGGGGGGGGGCTGGCGTCGCTGACTCAGTGAGAACTCGGGGTCAGCGTCCCTGGGCCTGGCGGCACTGTCCCGTCCACCCGAGGCCGTGGCTGAGGCTCTTCCCTGATTCCGCCTCTGGCCTGGCGGGCTCGGTTCCTGGGCTGGGGGCCACAGCACCGCGTGTTGGGGAGCCCAGGTCCTCATTTCCTGACAGGTCTCCCGAGCTCCTGCAGTGTCCCCTCAGCTGGCTGCAGTGTCCAGGGACAGACTCTCCATGTCCTTTCTTCTCTCCCTGCAGGCCCATTGGACCGTTTCTCTCTGCACCTTTATCATACTCCCCCTGGACCGGGCGTTTTCTCTGTATTTCTCTGCGTTTCGCCACCTGCCCAGCATGGTGCCTGCAGAGTCTGCATAAAAGGGTCCCGATGATCCCTTTTCAGGGAGAATCTATGATCCCCGAACCTGTGCATTTTGCTACCTGCTCCTTTGTGTGTTCTCACTAAAATGAAGCTAAAAGGAAGTTAAGTGGAGAAATGTTCGCCACCTGAATTGAATTTATGAGAGGCAAGAGGGAGGGGAGGAGAACGGGAAATGCTGAAAGACGGTTGGTAGTGAGAATGGC